TAATAAGAACATGCACGCCCACTAGTTTTCTCAGGGATAGAGACTCACGCAGAGCGATCCTCACTCTCTCATCACAGTGAAGAACATCCATCTCAACAAGATAGCTCATTGGTATTTAGTGGGCCTTGATCTCATTAAAGCAAAACCTAGGCACTGACCTGCATACACTCATTTCCACATTAGATCATACTCTTTAATAGCAAAGTATACATATTTATTTGGGTATAGAGAGATACTATATGCATTTTTGTACTTTCTAGTCTTGTTACTCTGATCCTTTCTTGATGCCTTTCTCCTCACTCTCCATAAGGAAAGGTTTTTGGCCACGTTTCATGTTTACATCCTTTTCCTTTACTCTAGGGCAAGAGATCTCACCTTCTTTGCACTTGGTTTTAAATTTGCTAACATGAATCCTTCTTTTTACAAAATATGTTTAGTTTTGCCAATAGAAATAGACAGCAGGAAGACAATTTTTGTGAGGTGACATGCAACAAAATGATGCTGGCAACACTGGTTATTTGCAGCATGGTGAAAAGCCACAGAAAATCTTGAATTTTAAGGCATCAGGGAAGTTTTCTATACTAGGTAATCTTTTTGCACAAACACTATGGCCAACTTTTGACTTTGATCTCGATGACATTAAATAAAGATGAGAAAGCATTGTTGTTTCTAAATAAAATACCATTTGAGTTATTTTTACTTTCTATCATTTTAGAGAGAGGTGTAGCCAAGTTTGACTTCCCAGCATGTGGATGGGTCATCAGAAAGAGGAAGGTCAACAAAGGAGTCCTCTGTGGTCATTCCCTTTCACCACTTTGTTGTAATCTGAAAGGGCAAACCCAAAGAGCTTTTCTAGAGGTACAACTCACTGAAGTAAAACAAGGCATTGGTTCTTGTGAATTTTCATCCCATTTCTTGTATTCTCTCATCTATTAGAGCTAGGCCTTTTTCCTTTGGCAACATTGTTTTAAAAATCTATCTTCCTATTAACCTGCCCTATCATTAAGCATCCTTGCCTGAGGGCTCAAAGGCCAAGGCAGATCATCTCTTTTTGGTTTGTAGCTTGAATTCAGTGATGGAAGCAAAATTTCTTTTATCTTATTGAGTCCCTTTCTCTAGACTTATAGAAAAAAAATTCATAGGCACAACACATGAAGTTGTAAAATTTTTTTTATTTTTCCATAATCCTAACAAACATAATATCTAAATCCTAACAGGCCAAATCCCTTACTAATAAATTATGAAAACAAGTGATATCCGAGAGACTTCTGTCCAGTAGCCTTCCTGGAACCATCTATCCCCTGGGCTCCTACTGACATCAAAAATCAAAGGGTTTTCCTCCAGTTGAGCCCTACACCAATGGGGTCCTCATTCTCCATGCCACCACCTCCATAGTTATTTCTAAATGTACTATTCTCCCCCACCCACAACTTTCTGTCTTTCTGTCTTTGCTCATTTTTAGCTACTTTGTCTAATAGAAACACATACAGGAGCTACCTTGTTTTCCCAGTCTTTAGCCATACAGTCTTTTCTCCCTCTTCCTTCCATCTGAGAGAAAAAGCAGCCTTTCTAAATCTACCCAAGCCGGTTAATTCATGTCATTATAAAATAAAACTTGTAAACATTTTATTATTTTACTTTTATAAAACATTATTACATAAAAAAATGTAAAGCCCTGTATCTCCTGGCCCCTATTCTACCCCATAACAACCTTATGTCCAAGCACCACACTGTCTCTCATCCCTGACTCTGAGTTCCCTCTTCCTTGGTAATACCTTATTTTCTAAATTTCTTGCATATTTTTCTATACTTAAACATAAATCTACAAATTTATATAGCATATATATGCACAGTAACAGAAATTTTAGAGGAATTTTGTGAATTTAATAATACCGTGGCCATGCCTCCAGTATGCTAATGCAGAATCTACCCCATTCATTCACATTTCTCATATTTTCCAAACGTTTTTCTGCCATCACCTTTATGGCTCAAGTTTCTCCCATATTCAAAAAGCTATCAACCATGTAGGCCACATGACTCGATCCTTTCACCCCACCAACTTCTGTCCTTGAAAAGAACTTCCCCTCACTGACTCCACTTCCTTACTTCCCATTCCCTCATCAGTCATGTGGTTTTCCTTCTTCCCTGTCATTCTCCTGAATTTGCTTTAAGAGCCAAAGTAAATGCTAGATCTAAAGGACATTTTTCAACTCCTATCTCACAGGGCTCCTGAGCCTCTGTGACCTTCTCCTTTGTTTCTTCCCCTGGTCAGACAGTTTCTAAGTATTTCACTGCCTCCACCATTCCCAAATGGGGATGCTTTTCCCTCTAGTGGATATCTGGCAATATTCTGAGACATTTCCAGTTGTCACAACTGAGGGAGTAGGATTGGGTGGGTACCCCTGGCATCAAGTGGGCAGAGGCTAGGGATTCTGCTGAACATCCTGCAATGCACTGGACAGCTCTCAGCAACAAATAATAATTCAACTCAAAATGTCAATAGTACATAGGTTAAGCAAATTCTGTCCTAGAGGGAGACAAATAAGGCCAATGACACTCATGAGTAGGAATGTGAATAGAAAAGTGGAGGCTCAGGATCTGGCCCTCAATCCTGATGATGACTGTCCACATCCTCCTCCATCAGGAGACAACCCAAAGTCACATCTCCACAGAGATGTACCAGGGCCACAATAGCTTCCCATTATCTAGGTGCACAGTCCCCAGGCGATGTCCATGGTTCCTCCAATTCTACCTCAGTCTTGTCCAGGTGCAACTGTTCCCCATCCTTCTACCTGAAGGCTAAAGGACACATGACACCCTCCATGCAGCTTGTAGTCATCAGAGGGGGAGAAGAAAACCAGCCCCCGCCCACTCTCATCCATCCCCTGGAAATTTGATTTACCATTGTCATATGTTTCTGTGCTATTTCACATTTCTGGATTCATAAAGAACTTTGTAGCTAGACTCCCTCCACATGCATCTTGATAGTAGCTTGGAGAAAAACTGTACCTTGCTTTGGCCCATGGTCTGCACCAGCAAACCTTCTGGGTACTCTCATTTGCTGACTCACTTCCTGTGCAGTGGTGTGAGTTCCCTATTCAGATCTGCCTGTCCCTGGTTCTGCCCAGCGGGGACTGGAAAGATTCTCCTCATGAAGCTGTACAGCCTGTAGCTGATGCTGGCATCCTCTGTATACAGCCCTGTGAGATTCACTTAGGGATGGCAAATCTCTGCATATTAATTTGAACACAGTGCAAACCTAAGGCTAACTCCAGACCTGTAACCTTAAGCCTGTTTTGTTTCTTGTGATATGACTCTCCCAACAGGAGCCTCCTATGCAGTTCATCCCTGGGGACTCTTAGGATGCAGGAATCCTCACTACTTGTCAAACCATGATGTAACTCCCTGTAGGGAGCAATTCTACATAATTTTGGGGAAAAATCATTTTGCAAGTAAATTATGATTAGGCCCAGTTCTCCTGCCTGCAGGCCAGCTATGGCATGAGACATAACTCCATTTTGGCCTCCAGTCACAGCTAAAACCTCAATGCTCCGGTGATGCTGTGATACTCCGGGGCAAAATTACACCAGCTGAAGACATCCTTGGAGGAACAAAATCTTCATCTGCATAGTTCTTCATTGTTCTAGGATTTTTGCTGCGGCTGCCCTCTGAGTCACCTGTTAGCTTGCTGCCCTCTGAGTCACCTTTTACATTTGTTACTTCTGATGTACTGAACTCACTGCCCACTGAGCCACCTGTTTTATTTGTTAATCCTCTTGTACCAAATAAAGTTGTGGCAAGCTCGGGTGCTTGCATCTTTGCCACCAAGAGCAACTTTGAAAAGGCCCAAAGCTCAGCTTCTTCTCTAAGTCTCATTTTTCTATATTTTCTGTCTAATAAATTAATTTGCCTTGTGCTGCCATGGCTTGCAGGAGACAAGGACTCACTGCCGAGGTTCTAGTAATGTCCCTTTTCCCTGTTCACTACAACTCCCCAATGATTTCCAGCATTTTGATAGTTTGTTGTTTGAAGTTGTTCTCCTGGTGCCAGTTTCAGACTTGGAAATGACCTGGTTACCCACAACAGGAATGCTTTGAAGTAAGTATAGGGAACGGGGATCTGGATAAAGTGAATGTTCACATAGCACAGTTGCAGGAAGAGAAAGGTAGTTGAGTCACTGCCACTCTCCACAGCTTTCTGGAGCTACTGTATTAACTCCTCTGTACTCCTTTATGCCTGTTACCTGGACCTTATACTGTACTGGTACTCCCTAAAAGACACCCTCTGTAAGGTACCTATTTCTGCTCCACTACAGTCAGGGCTGTGCCTCAGTGTTTGTGCCTGTGATCCTGGCCAGAGCTCCAAGCAATCCATTACTCCACTGCCCAGCCCATTCTGAGTATGAAATCTGCCTCTCTTCATGTACTCTAGCCTGAAAATCTGTGTGGCTCAAGATGGGTCAAATGCTCACTTCTACTTCCATTATCTAAGGCCTGGGGTGTAGTGGTGGGGTGGTAGGAGGGTTTATAAACACAGCTCAAAGGTCCACTAGACACTAGGTTGGATAGAGAGCCATGTGCGTGCGCACACACACACACACACAAAGCTGCAGGAGTTCTGGGGTGTTGCATGGAATACAAAAGAGATCATCATCAAAACATGTCTCTCCTCACCAACTACACCCTCTCCAACTCCCACCCAACGTTCTCTCACTTCCTTGGCCCCTTATTCCCTCTCTTACCCCCACACTCCACCCAGGGCTGCCACCTCTGAAAATTCACTTCCTATTGGAGTGTGTTTCTGTTTTATCGCACATTTCTGATTTTACTAAGGGCTTTGCAGCCAGATTCCCCTTCTACAACAGAAGCAATTTTCCCTTCATGAAACATTCATGGCCTTACACCAAGGGCAGTTCCAATCCCTAAGCTTGCAAAATGTTGGATGTTTTCTCTGCTGATGGAGTTCTGAGTCTCTCTTGTTTTTCTGATATTCTTGAGGGTCTACTCCTTGAGCCCCCACATCAGACCACAAGCTAACATCAGAGGCTGAGCAGTGGGGGGGGGCATCTGAGAAGGAAAAGGTGCTGTGATCGTGGCTGCCAATGGGGATGGTGTGGACATGACTGGGAAACCGGACAAAGGGCTTGAGTAGCTGTATGTGTATGAGGCAGGGAGCTGGACAGGAAGGGGTTCTGGTGAGTTGGTGGCCGTGGCCTTCAGTGTCCCAGAGAGATAAAGCATGGCTGTTTCCACAGGCCTAATATTGCCCTCCTTCTCTTTGCCAGAGGTGTAATTTTTCTGCTGGACAACTCTAAGAAGCTGCAGGAAGCTTCTACTTAGCTCCCGTGTGGCCTCCTCTGGGGCTGTGCTGATCACATCCCTCTCTTCTTCTTCTTCCTCTTCTTCTCCTCTTCCTCCGCCTATAGCACTAGCTTCAGCCTCTGCCACCTCTTGCTTCTCACCTGCTCCTTGTATCCCCACCTCTGGAACAGTAGCCAGGTCTGGCCCCTCCACAGCCAGCTCTGGGAGAGCCTTCAGCTTCTGAGGAGAAATGAGCAGGACTGAGATACATCCTGGGGGTGGGGGCCTGATGGGGGTACAGGTGTGGGATTGAAGTAGGGGGCAGTGGGGTCATCTTACTGCCTGCACAAGCTTCCATCTCAGCAGGTCCCTCTCTTTTTGTACCTGGGCCAGTTTGGTGTGGGCCAGGTGCAGTTGGAAGGCAGCCTCCTTGCACTCCATTCCCTGCTGCTCTATGAGCTGGTTCAGATTCAAGACCAAGGCATTTGTGGCTGACTTGTGCAGTTTGGCAAAGTCGTGCAGTGACTGTACCCTACCCCCCTGTAAGTGCCCCTGCCTACAAGCTAAGTGCCTGCCCAAGGACAGGCTGCCCCAAACATAGGCCACTTGAGCTTCACTGGGCACCTCGCTGTTCTCCAGGATGGCCCTGATTTTGTCTTCTATCTCCTCCCAGGAGAGAGACAGATTTTCAAGGTAGAACTCAGTGCCTTTCAGGTGCCTGGCCATCTTCTCATTGATGAAGGCTACCACTGTGCCATGCCGAAATCCCCTACCGGGGTCTTCAGGTTTCAAGGCCATGATGGCTAATGGCTTTATTGGCTTTGCTGGCCCTGTTGGGATAGATCAACCCGTTGTCCCTTCCCTCCCTCTTAGGCCCTCTTCCCCCTCCTCCTTCTCCCCCTTACCCTCCCCAACCCTGACCCTCAGAATAACCCCCTGGCTCTGCTTTCCCCCACTTTAGGACACCTCCCAAGGAGGCCTTAACACTGTAGCCAGGGGCCAGAAGAGATGTAGGCTGCCCACCCCCTAGGCCCAGAGAGAGGAGGGTCTTTCTTCCTCCCAGGTGTCCAAGGAAAGGGAGTTGTGAGGCCAACTCTCTAGATTTTTACTTTGGGACAGTTCCAACTTCCAGAGAGTACAAGGGTAGAAGGGAATATGAGAGGAAGGTCCTTAATTCTCCTGGGACGCAAGGGAACCCACCACATGGGTGAAAACCCTAGAAGGTGGGAAGAAATGGGATTAGTCAGAAAAAACTCATACCCAAGAAAATGAAGCTCTTGTAGGCAAATCCAAAGATTCCCAACCTTCCCACTTACAGTGAGTTTATCCCACACCAGGGGTTGGTAGGCCCCCTCCTGGAGATGGAATGTTACAGAATAGTACACAGTTCCAACTTCTCAGTGGCCTCTGCCCCACTCCCACACCATCGCCCAACATTCTGAAGCTACCCTTCCAGACTTTTGAATTCCAGTACAAGGGTTAGTTAACATTTTTTTGTAAAAGGGCCAGGCAGGGTATTTGAGTATTGGTCAACAAAGGATCTTTGTCCCAACTACTTGTGGTAGGAAAGTATTCATAAATAATACCTAAAGTAATGAACATTGCTGTGTTCCACTAAAACTTTATTTACCAAAAGTAGACAGTTGGCATGATTTGGCCTGCAGTTTGCTGACTCCTGATGTATATTCCCATTTCATACATGTCCTAAAGGCATGCAAAATCAAAACGTTCATATTATAATTAACCATTTTCCTGTTAAAAGAAAAACTAGACAAATTTAAGTTTATTTGAGCAAAGAATGATTTATAAATGTGACAGTATTCAGAATCAGAAGAGATTAAAAGAGCTCTTCACATCAATATGAGAAATGAAATTTATAGAACAAACATGAAAGTAAAGAAATTATCCGATTGGGGCTGAGGTCCCCAGTCGCGCGGAACACACACCGAATCAGCCCGCTGCAGACAGGCAGGTCTGTGCACGCCCTACCGAGGTCCTGAGTCACGCAGAAGACACCGAATCACCCCACTGCAGACAGGCAGCCACCTGATTCCAC